CCGGGCATAAAAATATATATATATATATTTATATTTCTTAAAATCTTTCCTGGTTATTCAGAGAAGCATTTCTGATTAAGACCCACTGTTAGAATAACATTGTCCATCTTCTCTCTTTTTTTTCACACATGTCATAATTATGATCCTTTTGAATGGTTTTATAACTGGGCCATACGGGGTAGAGGAGGAATGCACATCGGAAGGAAAATTTATTGAGATGGCAAAAAACACAGTCATTAAGTCAAATCATATTGTAATGCAGTATTAAAGAACTCCAAAAAATAAAAAACTCAAAACGAAGGCAAAAATTCAGATCTTGAATTGACAGGCTCCGGCTCAGCACTTGCACAGGTCGGTCTCACCGTCCTGACCCTGGCTTTGTGGCAGCAATGGCTGCGTGTCTGGTTCCCAGCCTCGCCGTGATGACGTCACGGGCGGGATCATTCTTTGTTGTGGGGGCCAGCCTGTGCATCGTAGGATGTCTAGCAGCATCCGTGCCCTCCACCATCTAGATGCGTGTCGCACACTCCCCCCGCCTCTGTGACAGCCCCACGTATCTCTAGACACTGCCCAAGGGGGAGGGCAGAGTCTCCCAAGTTGAGAACCCCCCTGTGTTGTGTGTGGTTCAGTTTCAACAAATTGAAGTTTGTTGCCTTTGTTGTACAGAAAGGTGTGTACTATTATATCGTAAGTGTTAGTTGCTTAGTTGTGTCTGACTCTTTGTGACCCCGTGGACTGTAGCCCACCAGGCTCCTCTGTCCATGGAATTCTCCAGAATAGAATGCTGCAGTGGGTAGCCATTCCATTCTCCAGGGGATCTTCCTGACCCAGGGATCGAACCTGGTTTCCCACATTGCAGTCACATTCTTTACAGTCTGGGCCACTAGGGAAGCCCGGCTATTACATAGTAAATGTTGTATTCATTCAGTCACTTAGCCTGTAAGTCAGTTGACTCATTTGGAAGTTACATCTGTGAGCCTGCCTCTAGAAGAGTGGCCGTTTGAGGTTGATGAGTTTTCGGCTCTGAGCTTTATTTGGGGAGTGCAGCGGACCTGTTGAAGCAGGGATTCCTTCTCTTCAGTAGTGTACTTCTAGGCAGTTGCAACCCATTCATGGTGTCTGCTGATCTTATGAATGTTCATAAGTGGTAGTGTTTTCCCTGCGTTTGGAAAGAAGATGGATAAGAGAAGGTGGATATTCATGATGACTGAGCATTTAATTTTTGTATTACTCTTTCATGAAATATAGGCTGGGGTTCTCATCGGGAAATACCCTTGCCGTGGATTATTAACGAGAAATGGAGGCCTCTTTGTTTCCATGGAGTCTCCAAGTCTCATTTGTTTGCTGGGGTGGCGTGGAATGACCGAGACACCCCATGGTGCGGGACACCCACCCCGGGCCCGAGGCAGGGGCCTTTGTGTGCGGAGAGCTTGATTCTTCACCCGACTTCTGACCTCACCAGGGCCTAGTGTGTCCTCCCTCCTCAAGAGGACCGGTGGTTTCCCCCCTAGGGCAGAAAGGGCCGTAACCTGCCTCTGTGGATACCACATCTGTTTTTATTTTCCCCTGGTATTTTTTAAGTAAGAAGAAATGTGTGTAGGTTAAAGGGCCTATGGGGAGGAGGCTGGAGATAAACACTGTACAATGTGAAACTTTTCCATATGGGCAACGTGAGGATGCCTAACGACTGGACCCAGTGCGAACACTGGCTGAGCCCCTCGTAATGACCAGCGCCTTCCTGGTATGTGGGGATCACCGTTTGGTACATGGATGAGCCTTTCATTTGCAGATTAAATCAGACCTGTCTTCCCTGAAACACCTTAGTGGTGTGTGTGTGTGTGTTTAGTCGCCTCAGTCATGTCCTATTCTCTGTGATCCCATGGACCATAGCCTGCCAGGCTTCTCTATCCATGAAATTCTCTAGGCAAGAACACAGGAGTGGGTTGCCATTTCCCTCTCCAAATCTGACCTGAGACAGGCCAGAACTATCTTAGTAGTAAAGGGGGATGAGTATCAATTTCAGAGAGAGACAAAGGAACTTGGAGGCAGCAAATCAGTTGCTTGTGACGCTGGTCTGATTCAGTCATCGTCATCTTCTAGTTTATTGTCAAGTAGTCCCCTGATCTGAGTGGGGTCTTTGCAAAAATCTGGACTTTGTTTCTCTTTTTGCCTTGCTCTGGAGTGGTTTCACCTGGAATGCAAAGCCCCAGGGCTCTGTGTTAGCCCACATTTAAAATATTAGTGGAAGTATCTGACTCCTGTAGACATAATCAGATTGCTTCTAAAACCCAAAGGTTTGTGAAAGATGCCCTTAATTCAGCCTTCCCTTCAAACCCACTGTTGCTAAAACTTGCCAGCCAGAGCAATTACTTTGTCAAAGGTCTTGTTATTGCTCCTAATGGTAAATAATAATTTGGTCCAGGTGCTGAGGAATGTGGGCAAAAAAATGAAGACTCACGTCTATGGCCAGAACATAAATTACAGAACTTTTGGGGGAAAAAAAAAATTTCTTGATTTAGCCTCACTACGAGAGGGGACCTTTCTGTAAATCTTCAGTCCTTGTTATAATTTTAGAGTTAAATTCTTTATAATTAAAAGCACTTGGCAAATAATGATTCATTTAAACTGTAGTTCTGATATATTACTCTAATTATTGTTACCATGCAGCGCCCTTTGGCCTGGAAGTGAAACCCGTGTCCTCTTGACACCAGAGGTTAACAGAGCAGGAAGCTAGAGCAGTGTGTGTGTGCCTGCGTGACCAGAATAATTTAGTAATTGTCTAATTACCTGAGGAGTCTGATGCCACTGCTAAAAATAGTATTAAAAAATTAAATGAAAGTCTTTTCTTGTTTCTCATAACCCATCTGTTCTCTATTTTGGGCAACCATGTGTTCATGGGTATAAAAACATTCATTCTAAAAGATCAGATCGCTTCTCCTCTGTTGGATAAAATATATTTTTAATGGACCGTAGTATTCAGTAACTCACAAACATCTCTCGCTTCCAAGACTCAGTTGTGGAGGTAGGGAGGCTATGATAGGTCTTTGGTCCTAAACTGTGACTTAAAATCTGGAACCAACGTTGGTCAGTTTGATATTTATTTCTTCTTAAAAATGGGGGGGAGGTTCGTGTCAGATGAGGACTTCTCACTGTTATCTCAGGAAAATTAAGTTGTTCATTTGTTCAACAAATATCTGAGCAAGTTATCTCCTGCCCTTGGTGCTAAAATTCAGTAGGCAAGGTATCTGTTGTCACGATCTGACAGGAGAATGATCAGGTAAACAATGCAGTTTTAGTCAGTGAAGACAAAAACACACATGGCACCATGGAAGCGTGGTTCCCAGTGGGGCAGGCACATGAGGCAGAGCCAATTAGGGGATCAGGGGAAGGCATCTTTGGGGAGGTGACGTTGAATTTGGGGCCTGAATGATGAGGTGGAATGAACTAATTCTGCAAAGATGTGGGAAACAGTGTTCTAGGCAGTGGGCACAGCAAGTGCAAAGGCCCTGAGGCAGGATAAGGAGGTTGGAGAGAGAGGCTGATCAGGTGGGTCATGGGAGGCTATCTGAGTTTTACTGATCAGTGACTCATAGACTCCTGACAAGTGTACTCTTTCTAGTGGCCTTAATTTTTTAAATTATATTTTAAGGCAATAGAGCAACTCCACACAGGACACAGCAAAGCAGTAGAACCCATTCTTCAAAGCAGAGCCTTCATGGTACCCGACGGTGCACAGGTGGGGATGGGGCTGCTTGTCCTCAACGTTTGATGCTGTGGAGTGGGTTTCTCGCGGTTCCTCTCCTCTGCATGTGGGTTGAAAACCATTCCCTAGGCCTCTCCTCTCATTGGCACAAAACCGAGGCCCAGAGGGCAGATGGGCCTTGCTTGAGGTCACCCAGCTCTTGACACCTCCCCAGGAATCAGACTCAGGTTTCTCACCTACGTTCTTTTTACCATGTTGCTCAAAACCTTTTCCCCAAGATTGAACCCATTAGGAGGACAAGCCATGTGCTGAAAGGTATAGTGAAGAGGTGGATGAGGGCTGTGTGAGCCAGGCAGCCGCCTCTTGGACAAGAGTTAGGGTCCTTGGTCGGTGCGGAAGGCAGAGCTTGAGCACATTTCAGTTAACCCTTGAAAATCGACGCTGCGTGGACTTCTGGGTGCCTTCTTGCAGTGTGTGGTTGCTGACGGCCTCCCTGACCTGCCCTGGGATGCTTGGCGCCTCCTAGGGCCCCACTGAGGCTGTCTTCCATTTTAATTGCACTGAGAGGAATGTACAGTTGAAACGGTGGCTCTAAACTGGGAGGATGTTGGTCTCTGTGGGGCATTTGGTAACCTCTGAAGACATTTTTTGTTCTCCTGTGACACCTGGGTTGTTTCTGGAGTCTAGAAGATGGAGACAGAGAAGCTGCTAAGCGTCTGCCACGCACAGTACGGCCTCCCCCCGCCCCATTAGAGAGTCATCCTTCTCAGGTGTCAGCAGCTGCTGCTTAGGCGCTCAGTCGTGTCCAGCTCTTTTGCAGCCCCGTGGACTGTAGCCCACCAGGCTCCTCCCTCCATGGGATTCCCCGGGCAAGAATACTGGAGTGGGTTGACATTTCTTTCTCCAGGGGATCTTCCTGACCCACGGATCGAACTTGCGTCTCCTGTATTGGCAGGCAGATTCTTTACCACTGAGCCCCACAGGGAAGCCCCAAATGTCAGCAGTGCTGAGGTCCGGAGCCCTGGTCTGAAACACCAGCATCGCTGGCAGTGTAGCGGAGCCCCTGACACCACCAGCATTCCCTGGTAGAAGCGCCCACATACCCTAGACTGTCATCTCTGTTTGTTTTGTGCTTGTTGTTTTTGGCTGAGCCCCAGTGACTGGATCCCTAAATTGCACACCCCTGGGGGGCACTTGCTAGAGCGGGCGGGAGGGAAGCGGCGAGTCCACCGAAGCCTCCCTCCCCCTGGAGGCCCCTCCGTGTGCTGGGCCTCCTCACTGCTTTCCTCCTCCGCAGCAGCCCCAGGACCCGCCGGCTCAGAAGGGCCCCGCGCCGACCACCAAGGTGCGGCGGACCATGAGCAGCCGCGCGCACGAAGCAGTCAAGGCCATCGCGCTCTGCCACAACGTCACCCCCGCATACGAGTCCAGTGGCCTCGCCGACCAGGCCGAGGCCGAGAGGCAGCACGACGACTCCTGCCGCGCGTACCAGGCGTCCAGCCCGGACGAGGTGAGCCCGCGCGCGCCGCCCTGGGGCTGGGCTGGGGGTGGGGGCCGGCTTGATGCAGGCGTCCAGCCCGGACGAGGTGAGCCCGCGCGCGCCGCCGCCCTGGGGCTGGGCTGGGGGTGGGGGCCGGCTTGATGCTGGCTCACTAAAGGCCTGCCCTTCCTCTGGAAGGGGCAGTCTCGACCTTGAGATCCATCATGCATCAGGAAAGAGCGAGAGCTCTGTGGTTCAGATGGCCAGCACACACAGGACACAGGTTCCTTAAAGAACCACATTCCTTCAGAAAGTTTTACTGATATAATCCCCATAGCATGCAGTTGCCTGTTTAACAGATACATACAGCTCAGTGTATTTTTATTTTAATAATATTTTCGTGGCGTTCTGTAACCTCACCACAGTCGATTTTATTTAATTGATTAGTGGATTTTTATTTATCTCATCTGCATAAGCTCTTTGTTGTGTTCCTTGGGCCCAGTTGTTGCCACGTGGGGCTTAGTTGCCTGACAACATGTGGGATCTTAGTTCCCCGACCAGGGATCAAACCTGTGTCCCCTGCGTTGGAAGGCAGATTCTTAACCCCTGGACCACCAGGGAAGTCCCCACCATAATCGACTCTAATGCATTTTCACTGCCCCAAAGGAAGCACTCCATGCCAGCCTTCCCACAGACCCCCACCTTCCTCCCTCCAGCCCCTGGCAGCCCCTGACCTGCATTCTGTCTCGGTAGACTTGCCCCTTCTGGACATTGTGTCAAATGGAAACGTCCCCTGTGTCTCATGTTCTGCCTCATTTCTTCCACTTAGCACGTGTTTCAAGGTTCATCCCTGTAGTGACATGTATCAGTACTTCATGCCTTGTTTTGAATGAACAGTGTTCCTTCGAATGGATAATACTGTGTTCTGTTTATCCATTCTTTGGTTGATGGACCTGTGAAATGTTTATGTATATTTTTCTGTGAACATTTGTGTCCAGGTTTTTATACGGATGTGTGTGTTCATTTCCCTCGGTGTACGTATAGGAGAGGGATTACTGGGTTACATTAATTTTATGTTTAACCTCGGTTTTATAACATGTCCTTCAGGTTGTGTCTGTCTGACCTTTTCTTATGATGTTGCCTCAGGTTATGCATTTCTGGCATTGGCCTTGGTATCTGGAGTCACATGATGTTGGCGTTTCCCACTCTCAGAGCTTCTAACACAGGTTTCTTGGCTAAGGTGGTGTCCCCTAGAAAACTGTTCTTCCGGGTGAAGTTGCCATTTTCTGTGACTGACGCATCTTATTACCAGCCCCCTGGGTGAGAGGGTGAGGGCTTTAACCAGAGTTTGTTTTCAGAGTCCAGATTCTTTTACTTTTCTGGTAAACCTTTCACTAAACCATTTTTAGACACCACTAGATATCGATTTTCATTAATTTGATATATAGCCCCTCCACTAGATTTTAATGTAATTTTTCCTTAAAAAAAAGATGAGAATTTTAATGTAAGCAAGGGTTTTGCATCCTCCTTTTTTTCCCACTTACTATTTTATCATGCCTGTTTCTAAATTTTGTTGAATATTATTAGAATTCAGTTCTTCAGATTTACTGCCCGTGAATGGACAGTAACATCTTTTAACTGTTCTCATATTTCTGGAATTTAGATTATGTTTTAATTTCGAGCAGTAGCAGTTAGAAACATTTCTGATGGGCATCCTTGCACCTGATGTTTGTAGAAATGGTGTAATTGGGTTCATGATTTCACCAGCTATCTCTGAGGACCTCCCATGGGCCAGGCACTAGGAGTCCACGTTAAACAAGACACCAGGCCACATCTGTAGGGGCAGCTGGAGTGAGACAGTTGAGCATGTGGATCCTGGGTTCCCAGCTCCACACCTGGGCAGGTTTCTTTTCTTCATGGTGGGTCTGAGGGTGTTGTGAGGCTTTTAGTAAGTGGTCAATTAATCCCGCAGGTCAAACTGAATGAATATGTTTATGTAAATTACGAGAGTGCTTCCCGGGATTTTTTTTTTTAAACCGTTTTACTCTTACACCAACATTGCAGGGAATCCCAATTATTATTATTAATTTCAAGAAGGAGGGAGGGGCTTCTGTGGTACATGAAGGTTTTTTTTTTAATATGTAGGTGATGACAGTTGACTCATTGGAAAAGCCCTTGATGCTGGGCAAGATTGAGGGCAGAAGGAGAAGAGGGCGTCAGAGGATGAGATAGGTGGCTGGATGGTATCACTGATGCAATGGCCATGAACTTGGGCAAACTTCGGGAGATGGTGAGTGACAGGGAGAGCTGGTGTGCTGCAGTCCATAGAGTCACAAAAAATTGGACAGAACTGGGTGACTGAACAACAATGACAGTTGACCTTTACCACGTGCCTGGGATTGTTCAAAACTTTGTTATTATTTAATGCTTACAACAGCTTTGGAAAAGTGCTGGAAGTGGTAGTTGCTCAGTCGTGTCTGACTCTCTGATCCCGTAGACTGTAGCCCACCAGATTCCTCTGTCCATGGGATTCTCCAGACGAGAGTACTGGGGTGGGCTGCCATTCCCTTCTCCAGAGGATCTTCCTGACCCAGGGATTGAAGCCGGGTCTCCCACACTGTAGGTGGATTCTTTACCGCCTGAACCATGTCAATGACTGTTACTATTTAATGCTTCCAACAGCGTTGGGAGGCGGTTTCTATCATGATCTCTGATTTACAGATGAGACAGACGCACAGAGAGAGGGTAAGCAACTTGGCCAACGTCACATAGCTGGTGAGCACCAGAGGGTGGACCCAGGCAGCACCTGCTCTTGGCTGACTCTGCCTTCTACCTCCTGGTAAAGTATGTGGATGAACAAGTGGTAGACAAAAGCCTTGGTAGGTGGAGTTAAAGGAAATGTTGCAGGAAGGGAAACCTCTTCCAGGGCCTGAGAGTGGGCTCTTGTCTAACACTAGGGGAATTGTCCAAAGAGATGCACGTGCTGGAGACCTTATTGGGCAGGGGCACCGCAGTAGAGAGCATGAGGGGAAGGGGACCCAGTAGAGCTGCTCCACCGTGGGGCTCACAGCCTCGGCTTTTATGGTGACGGGGTTAGTTTCCAGGTTTTCTCTGACCAGTCACTCTGACTCAGGGTCCTTTCTGGTAGCACACGCATCGCTCAGCCAAAATGGGTGCCAGCGAGAAGGATTCTGGGCAGCGGGCAGACACGGGGCGTCTCCTGTTGACCTTTCCCGAGCTCTTCCGGGTGGTGGAGGCTCGTTAGTTCCGTGTTCCTTACCAGGACCTCTTTCTCGCGCAGATGGTTACTGTGGTGCTGGCCAGCATGGGCGCTTTCGGTCGTGTGCTTCCCGTAACAGAAGCAGGCTTTGCTCCTGCGCCCCTTCAGCTGAGCTGTTCCGGGGAAGGAAGGAATTCAGGCTGAAACTCATTGAATGTATTTTGAAGGTCCGAACTCCTCTAACATCAGTGAGCTGATGTGGTCGAGAGAGGCACAACGGGAATCTTCTCCAAAGGTCAGGAAGGACACTTGGGTGCGACTTTCCCGTGAGGTCCTTTCTTCCTCCTCCTCTGGGGCAATGGAATGTGTCTCCTGGGAGAGTCCTCCTTCCTGTCTGCTCCGTATTTGTGGAAGAGCTCAAACTGAAGCCTGGTTGATCCGTGACCATTGATACCTGAACCAGGCTTTTTAGGGGTGAAAGATGTGGTAGCCCTTGGCCACATTCTGAGATGGGAATTGTGTGCAAAAAGAGAAAAGGAGGGAGGGACTATAGCTATCGATGAGCCTACTGATTTCTTGGGACTTCTGCCCTGGAACCAAAAGCTTGTCACATTTGTCACTGTGTCTCCACCGGGGTTTGTCTGCTTGTTCTTGCTTTTCCATTTGGGAATGGGAGGGTGGTACCATTGAATGGTCCCTGTGAGAAAGGACCAGAGTCTTGATCATTATGGACTGGGAACCAGTAGCTTGTGGGTATTTGGTAGAATTTAAATTCGAACAGGTTCCAAATGTAGGTGATCGGATGAGCGCTTGTGCCTCTGGGCTCCTGTTGACTATTGACATGCATCTGTGATGGTCTTTAATGCCTGCCCCACACGCCTGGTTCCTGCTGAACTTTGATATATTTGTTTTAGGGCTGTGCAAAGGTTTTTCCATGAAGGTAAATCTTCCATGGAATGCTTTGTGCTTCTTAGCTCCTTTTTGTTAAAGAGAAGAGCGCTTTATCTCTGCTGTCTGTTAATCGCCTTTGGATTCAGATTTGTTCTGTTTTGCTAAGATTCTGAATAGTGTTTCTTTTTTAAAAGATATTTTCTTTGGTCTTTGGTGTCTTCACAGAGGTCAGTGTTACTTTCTTGGTTTCCTTTTCCCCATGATGTTTTTTTTTAATTACACAGTTATTTCAGGTTTATGATAGAATATATGAAAATGTAGAGAAGAAAAAAGGTAAGCCAAAACCCTGCTAACTAAAGGCGTATTGTTCAGTTGCTGAGTTGTGTCCAACTGTTTGTGACCCCGTGGACTGTACTCCATTGGACAGGCTCTTCTGTCCATGGGTTCTCCAGGCAAGAATACTGGAGTGGTTGCCATTTCCTTTTCCAGGGGATCTTCCCAGATCACGGATCGAACCCGAGTCTCCTGCGTTGGCAGGCAGATTCTTTACCACTGAGCCACCAGGGAAGCCCAACTAAAAGGTGTCACCACTGTTAATATTTTCCCCACCACCCTTTTAAACTACTTCAAAAGATGCATACCTCAAAATGGAAATCTGTTTATGTAAATAGACCATCTGACAGAAAGGTGGCCGAATCTGTTGCCAATGAAATCTTTCAGAAAGTCGTCCTGTTTCCAGCTCTCTGTGGGATTCCACGTAGGAGCAGCGGGGTCTAGAATCCTACCTTTGAAATTCTATATCAATAAAGCCTCACTGGTGCGGGCAAGGTCAGTTGATGGAATACATACAGAAGCCAGTATCCGTTTTACTTTGGAGCTGCTGGAGTAATTCCTACCAGTTGGCCCAGGATTCATTTCC